GAAGAGTTTTCAGCCGGCGCTCAGACCTGGACGCGAAGGGACTTTTCAAACATATGTCAACTATTGGGTTTCTCGTTAATGATTTAGGGTGTGTTGGTCAACCTTGGTACTATCTGCGTAATTTCATTACTTGTGTAACGCCTCTTGCTAGACTACCATATCCTTGCATCTTTGTTTACGTCATACGAGTCATGATAACAAAGTTGCGATGCACCTCAACGATGAAATTATGACTGAAGCATGCGGTCATAGGGCTACCCGGAGATGAACAGTCATGTGATAGGTCAGGAAAAGGTTAAACCGCAGCCAGTATGATGTGTCGTTCTTGCACTTTGATGATATCTTATCGCAGGATCCTTGCTTCGCTTGTTGTGTGGGAGTCTTGGAATTCACATGCAGATACGGGTAGCAAGACACGTGCAAAAGCTATACTTGCGGACGCCTTCGCTAACGACTAGACGATCATGACGGCTAGTTTGCGTAATCATGCAGTCTGACATGCAACATCAGTCTGTTTAATCCTAAGACCCCACATGTGAGCAATGATCTGTGGTCTGATAGCGCTAAAAACCAATCTTCTTTGAAGATTACTTCATCGCCCCATCACTGGGCTGTCGGAAACATCGGCTTATGGTGGCTGGGCAGACATGACCTCACGCACGTGAGACGTTCCTTCAGCTGACGCGGGAACGGCCGGCCGGCGGGCTGACGGGCCGGTGTTCAGCAGTCACTCATGAGTAAGCATTACCTACTGATCCTATTTTTATGTGCGGTGCGACACGCTGCTCCGTTAGTTTTTCCCCTCGCGAAATGACCGCCGTAGTCGATGCCCCATATTATCTTCATTTCATGTGTTCCGCACAATCACGGAAAGAATAGATCCGACACCAATCTTGGAAAAGATACTGGCTAGGGGCGATGTTTCTTACCTTGATAGTGCTACCGCTTTTTATCTTAACTCAGCCAAGCAACTAGAAACTACAAGCGACAATGAAAAGTCACAACCTATCGCACAAGTTCCTGAGTAGAGCTGATTCAATGTTATCTCGCTAGGGGCTCTAAATCATTGTGCTCAGCAGACTTATATGTTGCTCTCAATGTCTTCCTCGTGTTTTATCGCAGCAATGTCACTGATAGTATGTGTGCATTGCACATAGACGCGCCCGATGCACTGTACATCATGTGGAGATACCCCGTTTTGTACAGGTCTGCCACTGATCCAAGCACTGCCAAGTATCATGACACACCATCAAGAACGCCCTGCCGTCTGGTTAGGCGCGAAGTGAGCACATATCCTGCCGGGTCTGAGACGGCGCCTGCCTGCGCCGGCTTCCCTTCAAGCCGCCAGCTGGCTCCCAGAAAGCTCCTCAGCGGGGTAACGACGGCCGAGAAGCCCCAGCGCCGTGTATCCCGCTTACCCTCACACCTGACACCCATCTGCCTTGCTCTTGATGTGTTTCACCATCGCGGTTCAAAGTTCGGAGTCGGTACGGTTCAAAGTTCGGAGCCGCGATAAAGGAGGAAACAGTGAGCTTGTCTCGTGGTCCATATTCGCCCGCTGTAAATGTCGGCTGCCGCTGCCCCGCGTCAGCTGACCCTTGCGTGGTGGCCCACGTGACCCTGACCCAACCTATCACCGGATTTTCGTGAGAAATCGTAACAATTCTCACAGATGGCCTTTTCTACAGAGCACAGAACCGATCGCAGCCGTAAAGATACGGGGGCGCACCCAGCGAAGAGTCTCCTGAGCAGACAAGTTCTTCCAAAAACATCTCAGGCACGTTACTTCCATGTGCGCCGGTAATATATAATGCCATCAGGCATTTCTACACGCATGTCTGCATTGCATCGATGAAATGATTCTTCATCATCCAAAACTAGTACTTCGAGACGAAACAAACCAATCACACCAAGTAGCAAGCGTCTGGCGCCAGACCCCAGACCGCGGCCTTCTTTCTCATGTAAATGTGGCTGTTAGTCCCGGTTACACTGCACAGGTTCCAGATGCGGTGTACGGTGACCAAATTGCACACACCGACACCGTGCGCTGTGAGATGAGACACCGATACTTATGAAATGCACCCCCCCCCCCCCCCCCCGCTCCACCGCAACATTTCAGTATTCACCACTGACTAAATGACGCATAGCTCGTACAAATTGCTCGTTATTATTATTAAGGCTAGTGACCGTGCCCCTGACAGCACTGAAAATACAACTAAAGTAAGATAACCGCAACCAAATGACCAAAAAAAAACCGCAACAATAAAATAACCACATAAAAATATGACCACCGTTAATTTTGCTTGCACCCATTCTTAGAACGCTCAGTCAGCGTATGATGCTCAAAATGCTATATTCATATTTAAACGTTTGTTCTTAGCGCTTGCTTTTTTGGCCATTTCTTGGTATCTTGGATGGAGAGACCCCCAGAGATGAACTATGCACCCTAAACTTTGCGCTCCTACTACTTAACACCGCTGAATATTTATATATATATATATATATATATATATATATATATATATATATATATATATATGTGTGTGTGTGTGTGTGTATGCATGCGTATATACACGTATATATATATATACATGTGTATGTATATATATATATATATATATATATATATATATATATATATATATATATATATATATATATATATATATATATGTGTGTGTGTGTGTGTGTGTGTGTGTGTGTGTGTGTGTGTGTGTGTGTGTGTGTGTGTGTGTGTGTGTGTGTGTGTGTGTGTGTGTGTGTGTGTGTTTGGGGTGTGTGCCAGATTTAAATCTTAATCCGGCATTGTTCGGGCGCCTCAGCACACCATTGGCCGGCGGGGACAGATTTGACCCACCCCCCTGCTTTTCTTAAGAACGACTCGGTCGAATTCAAAAATTAAAATCGCGAGCAAAAGTGCCGTGGTTTGCGGTCTCAGACCACACAACACACTTAAGCTCAAATGCTTATAAGTTCACAGGTCAAGGTCAACCCCTAAAAATGTTACTTTGGAAGATCTGACCGCTCCCACAACGCATTTCATTTAGAAGCGTATCTAATGGTGTGAAATCATTTTGCCCTCATCAAACAAGCTACATAGGATGGCATTCAATGTCAAGCACGCCACACCAGGCCTAGAGTCAAAGTCACGTGCCATTCAATTGAGAGCGGAGACCTTGGTCTGTATGCCCATTTTGGTCTGTTTGTCTTCATCATGTCTGAGCTTTCCAAACGCAAGTGGAAAAGCTTAGCCACAATTATGGGTATCAAACACATTAGCAAGATTGGTTGCTTGCTTATAAGCCGTCGAAGCCCATGGTTAAATGGATGACCTCGGGGCTGAATGAGTGGTCGACTCGAGTTTTGCGTTGTTTTTGACGGTTCAGTTCCGCCCACAGGGCGACCTAATACCCTTCAACCCCGCCGCTAGTCACGTGGTCGTTGGTTTGCGTGTGGAACTGATAAACAGCTTCCGCCGCCCCGTAAGTTATATATTTAACGTGCCGATATTTCGACGTGCTATATGGAAACAACAAAACGACATGACATATGAATAGTAAACTAATTGGCTCACATTTCCGGTTTATAGATTGTAATATGTTCTTTCGTTCTGCTTGTGTGTCAGTTTGTCTTCGGCCATGCGCTTCCGTGAAAAAATTGGTAAACGTGTCGCCACTCTAACGTCACTTCGCTTAATCTGTTGCGGCCCATGCTTGTTATCAGGCACAAGGCGTGTCTCTTATCCATTGACAGCTACTGAAAACTTCGTAGCGATGTCTCAAAGCTTGAATTATCACGAACATTGGGCAGGGGCAGATTTGGCCGCTGAACAATACCGGGCTAAGCTGGATCGATGTTGAGATCTAGTACAGTTCTCCATTTTTAACATCACTTATTTTTACAAGTTACCGATCCACAGGAGACCGACGCAGCCCCCAATCCCCTAAGGTATCTGACAATATCCCCGGAATATTATGAAATCAAACCCAAGCTTTCAAAAGTCTAACGGAAATTCAGTACACGTATTTTGACGTCGAAAACTTGTCACCGGCTTCTCTGATTTCCGATTAACGGTGACTTTTTAGGGGCGGCGAGCGGCAATATCCGCCGATCATTTGCGGCAGGCCGACATTATAACATGTAGAAGAGAATGCCACCTGCTTTGTACTTTTCACTTATTGTTACAATAGGTGCGTACGATTTGATCAGAAATGCAGATTTTCTCAAAATCCTTCTAAATAGGTCATAGTTTTGATGCGAAGTAGCCAATCTTGCGAGAGAAATCTCATTGGACACTCTGCTCAACACTTTGAAAGCAATGCATCTCATTTGCTTTGCTTTTTCCAATGTGTGTGATCTGTAATGCTTGCGATGCACTGTCTGGCCACAATGTTTGTGTAATAAACGTCACGAAGCTGGGATCACCCTGTTTAAACGAAAAGATAAGCGAACATGAAGCTATTATCCCGCGAATTCAACGATGCACCATACCATAGCTTTTATTTTTCCCCTATGGCGTTTACCACCGTGGCTCTTTTTGAGGCACACTAGCTTTGGGAAATGGATTATTTGAAACTGGAGTGTAGTCACACACGGTAGATGGTGACGCACTGGTTCAAACTTCAAATGATGCGCTTCTGTGTGACAGGCCCCACATCCCGCTAAGCCAATGACAAACGGTCTGTTATTTGCACCAGTAGATGTGCCATGGCGGTAGCCATGACGATGGTGGTCGCAACAGCAAGAAAGAATCGTAATGCTGTTGCAGAGCGTTGACAACGTAGTGTGAACCTGAAAATAATTACAGTTTATGGTCTTATGTTTGATATATACAGTTTATGGTATATCTTGATGGTGTTACAGTGGCCCTATCAAGTGCTATTATTACACGTAATTGGCCCTGAGATATCATTAGATAACGTTTCTGAAATATGCCCAAAGGTGAGACACTGAACAAATAGCGATACGGCTCAATGTGCCCAGAATTGAACAAGAAACTCGTCTGTTTAAGATTTATGCTGCTACATAGTGTGGTTTCGTACAGATTGTTATGCAACGCTGAATTACTATCATTTTGTCAGGACAAAATGACTTTTGACGAACATGACGACGTTCATTATAAACCTAGTAACATGAACCTTATTGCAGCTCACATAATCTCGTTGAGAAGATAATGACCTTTGAAAACCTGAAAACAGTGCGGGGGTCATATCGACTTTCCTCCCCAACAGTTCACGCTATGATAGAGGGCGCACCAGGATGAGGAAAAAGAAACAGCTCACGCCACGAAGAGCTTCCCATTTTGGCCTATCCAGTTCTGATAGGCAGACACCTAAATAATCTGTATTGAATGAGTAACAGCCAAACGTTGGCTTTGCATTGAAGTGTAGGTTACGTTGGCTGAGTGGGAATAAAAGATCCATTCATCACAAAATATGCATTATTGCAGGCGAGAATTGAGTCAACTGAACTATCAACACTGAAGTTAATCAAGGCGAATGCACGAATGTTAAGTTCGCAAGTTCACTTGTAATGAGCCGCGACTGAGCCTTTGCATGGCGCGCCATGAGCCAATTGTGTCGTGCGCTCGTGTGTGCCATGCTTTTTATTTTGCGATGCATGCTATGTGGTGTAACTGGCTTATATACATTATGTGTTGATTGTTACGCGCGTCGTTATCGCCTCGATATGTGCAGCAAAAAGTGCGCGGAATCAGTTCATGGCCATGCCACTTCCCGCGCCGGGCTGCAGGGGGTCGTAGTAGGAGGACTCCGGGGCCTTGCGTTGATCGCGTTTGCAGATCCAGATGAGCCCCGCGATCAGGACCAGTCCAACGATAACGCCGATCAAAATCAATACCTGGCGGCATCGGACGCGTTAAAATCACAGTTCAGATCACCGGCGATAAGTGGGAACAGGGTGGTGCTTCGGTTACTCAGTTCGCTTCACCGGTAAGCTATTTGAACGAATCACATTGACAATGTATGAATTGCAGAGGCGTGGGAGCAAGGGGGTGGGATTTCTGGAAACTGACCAGGTCATTAGCGTGTGAACGCCAGACCTTAAATGGTTTATAATGGTCAGACCTCCGTTACTGTAAATGTACCTGTGAATGCAACATATCTGTTCCCATTTGCAATCTGCTGGGCACATGAGGCGTCAAATAGACATAACAAAGCATTAGCCTGATGTTCGAGAGCTTTCATGCTGAAGAACAATGCCACATATCATGTGGCCAGTGAGTTTCATTGCACGTTGGCTGTGAAATGAGTTAAGTTTATGAAATTTAGCTCAATCTCACCTCGGTCACCACCTTGTTTGTCGCCCCTGATGCTGATGATGTTGTATTGGACTCGAGATTCATTTTCTTGCTTAATGCTTGGGCATCCGCCAGTGTGATGTTGTGAGAGCCAGAACTAGTCAGATTGTTGTAATCTTCCCTAGAAGCTTGTACCTGACTCAGCAGTTCATCCATCGCAACTTTGTACTGATCAATGGAAGCCACAGGAAGTGGAATGATGTCGTAGACCACACGGACTCCAATCCCGAGTAAGTTGATTTTGAGCATGTAATACTTCTGTTCAGCGGTGAGGTAATGTCTCACATCATAAGGGGTTGTCTTAGTTTTTCCCTCCTCTTCGGTAGCGTTTTTTGTTTTTGTTTTATTTGAAAGGAGTTCCTCCAACTCCTTCCGTGAGATTCCATCTCCATCGCCCTTCGTTCCATGTTCTGTCGGAGGTTTTTTATTTTCAGCTGGGTTAAGTATCTCTGTCTGATTTTCGGATACTTTTTTTAAGCCTTTACCTTCTAACTTGCTAGAGCTCGATACTCCCTCCTTTGCTTTTGAGAGCTGTTCATGGGAGCTGCCAAGCTTGCTTTTGACTTGGCTCTTCTCTGTGGCTGTTGAAGAACTCAAAATAAGGTGACATAGAAATAGACAAACGCTGAAAATTTTCATACCGATGGCTTGTTATATGCTCTTTAAAAAACAATGGATAAAAATATGGGATATTCGTTTAGCCAGACTGAAACAATAATTTATGTTGGAACGATTTACCCTCTGGATGTCATGAGACAGAAAGCTCGTTTTGTTTCTTTCCGCGAGAATTCATTCACGTTCCATCAAACTTGGAACACTTCGCATTAGACGACTACATATGTGACTTTGTTAAGGACATGTTAGGGATAAAACTTTACCAGCGCTTGAAAGCGAGGAATTTCTTAAATATCGTATCAATGGATATGGATGAACCTGGTTCTCGATAGAAATTAAAAAAACAATTAAAATATAATTGTGTACCTGCCGTCATTTCAATTTGCCTGCACCCGGCCGGGGGTTTGAGACAGCCGCGCCCGGCCCGGGGAAGATGACTTCCCCCTGAAATCTCCAATCTTAAAATGCCTCACGAGGAAAACAAAGATACTGTTGTGAAAGTCTCGCCAATTGATGAAGAATGCACATCAAAATTTTGACCTTAGACAAATGTGAGGTCGCCACGTCACACACGAGTGACGAAAGGAAAGAAACGGTCGCTCTGGTAGCTACAGTTAAGACATGTGCTAATACGTGAAGACGGATATTAAGGGCACAAAAGGAAGCGTTAAGACTGTGGAGAGTCCATTCCAACCATCTTTGCTCCCCACAAGATCAGGTCAGATCAGTTCACAATTCAGAACTGGTCTACCAGTGGCCCACAAGATCGATACTTTTGGATTTCTTTCACAATGTGCTTGTGGCTAAGTTTATTTTGTTAGGTAGATAAAAGTATTCCAGGTACAATGATACCATTTTAGGATAACTTAGAGGTCTGCTGAGGTAACGTAGGTTAAATTCATTAACTATCAAAATATAAAAATATGGTGCTGACAAAGCTTAAGTGGCCAGTACAATGTTTTTCTGTGGTCAGAAACAGCGCTTTGTACATCTACAAGAACTCCATACCGCATGGCTCTTGTGTACATTACACGTGGTCTTTTCGACGCTTGCCAATGTTTTGGAAACAAAATGAGAACAAGCACGTTGGTGCATAAGATTATACGCCATCAGCTTCACAAACACGATATTGCAATGGTTACATGCGTCGTCCTCGCTCATCTAGACTTTTTGTTTATGACAACAGAAGTCATCAACCTTAGATGAGCTCATGTTACCTCACGTGACCTATTGCGACCTCAATATAGGCTAGCGTGATCTCATAGCATGACTGCTGTGGAAAATTCGAATTCTGCAATGACCTCCAAAAAAATCGCACAACAACCTGCTAATACAACCTATTTTGCCCTAATAATGTTTTTTGCAGAAGACATCTGGAGAGCTGATTAGGACCTAGGCCAACATCATGTCTTCTCTGGTCATATAATGGTTTTGCGTGTGAGTTAGTACTCTTTTCTTCGCATACAAACACCAAAATTACACAAATATGTGTACAAATTTGGATTATTTACGAAAAGTGGCAAAAGTTTGCCCCATTACAAGTCACTGATCTGGCCTTGTTTGAAAAAAATATAAAATTATCTAGCTGTAGTTATTGTCATCTTCTATTATTATAGTGAGTTTGAGCAATGGCAGGTGCCGCACAAAAGGTCATACGCGGTTAATTTTTTTTTTAGAAGTTGACGTCTTCGACCCACTCTAGGTCACTGGCCTTGGCAGATGAGACCTTCAACTCTGCACAAGAAATGCCAAATTGATCCATAAACATGTCTTAAGAAGTTTGGTATCGCTGCAAGTGTTTGCTGTTTAGCTGTGCCCGAAAAACCGTGTGGGGAAGTCATTTCCCCTGACCCGGCGTGGGTTAAGCGTTGTAGAAGGTAAGATCAAATCTAAGTTAATCAAAATTCGCGACGGCAATACAATTTCCGCACTTAGTTCTGTGCACATATATTTGGATCCACAAAAATTTCAGAATCATTCAAGTATTCAAAATTTCTGTTTTAAACTTTTCGCGAAAAGTTCCAGGCAAGCTAAGTAGACTGTGACGCCTAAAATACTTGCTTTTCTAAACGCTTTTAGAATTGGTCATTTTCGTGAAACTTCATATGGAAAAACAACCAGTGAATAAGCTTAACTATAAGCAAAAGCTTAGTCTGCACCAGCCCTTCAGAGGTTCTTCCATATTCATGCAATACCAATATACATATTATCTGCGAAAGCTACTATTTTAAAGAAAGTGAGCATGTTTCGAAAGAGATAAGATAGTGCTGTAAACCTTATTTCTCGTAGAATAAACATGAAAAAGGAGATGTAGATGCATTGATATTTCGGCTGTATGTCTCTATCGAGACAAGTATCAGTAGTCATTTAAATGTCAACAATAAAATCAACTATATCCGTTGATACGATAATTTAGAAATCCCTCGTTTTCAAGAGCAGATGCAGATACATCCCGAGTGCCCTGATGATGATGCCCTGATGAAATGTTTCGATAGAGGCATACAGCTAAAATATCACTACATCTATCTCCCCTTTCTCCTGGTCATTCCATGAGGAATAATGCTAGCATTGCTACCTAATCCATATGTTTAATGTTCTTCGTAAGTGCACTTAACTTATGTATTTACATATCGGTATATTTCGCTAATGCACCGAGCGATGCGGTGTTAAGAGTGAAGGACAGTAGATGTGAGGATATTCTCAACATTCAGTGGTACACATGAGCTGCAGATGATTATCTCACATGTCATCCCGAGCCATATAATTCGATGATGAACATGTTGATAACCAGCTCCTAATACATGTATGCGCATGTATTGGGAGCTCCCAATACATGTACCTTGCATACGCACGTTTTCATAATGTTCGGCATGATTGGCCGTTTTACGTTAAATGCTAAGTCACAGAGGTTTTCTGGTAACTTTTGTTGGCAGGAAAAACCAGTGGAGTCATTGGATTTTATTAACAATACCGACTTTCATGCTGGCTGATGTTGCGGGCAAGCAGAAAAGTGAACTGGGGGCCTGATGTGTGGCTTGGAAACTTACGCCCAGCCGCAGAATTCGTTAAAGGGATTGTGTCGTGTTTTCGATTTTCCAAAGACACGCCTAAGGGGAGTTTTGCAACTGTCTATGGTTAATTCTGGCGCCTAGGTGTGCGTTTGGATCTAGCAACAGCTTTTATTTATGTATTTTTATCGATCGCATCGATGGCTGTGCGTGAACAAATGCAATGCTAAAAAATGAGCCAATTAGCAGACAGGAAAGGACGAACGCACTGGCTTACATGTGGCGACTAACTGCGCGCTAGTGACATGGCCATTGCCTTCGTTGCTACGGTCATAGCCGCTGCCAAAACAACGTAAACATTCGGATTTTCCTTGAGCTGATTGACGCGACACAATCTAGTGCCTCATCTCAGTGCAAAGAAGGCCAACGTGAATTAATCGCGGTGCGTATCAATTGACCGGCCTTACTAAACGTCCAAGCCGGTACACCCTAGCTCTCAGCTGAATGTAAACAAAAAAAGACATCAACGTAATGGCCGCCGCCATCGCTGCTTTCGTAAGCTGCTGTCAGCGCTGACAAGCGACAGTCTCGAAGTCATTGGCGAGAGCTAGCGATACCTTCTCAATGACGTCGATGTGTTCAGTAGCGAATATTGTTTTGGAGGCTACCCGATAACTTCGTTCTTTAATACAAGCCGAAGAAAGTTTGGGAGCTGTAGCAATGTCTTGTCAGTGGAGGCGAATTGCTAGAAACCAATGACACCAAGACATTTTAATTGAAATTCCCTGCCATTCCACGTGCCTAGTTAAAAATCCCAACTTGACTAGACACACCTTTTAATTGTAACGCACGTGCATCCTTAAAATCAAGGCTGGAAATCTCGTCTGAGTCGAGACTCTATAACAACTCAGTTATACTCAGGTTAATGAGTATAACTGAGTTGAGATGTTATAGGGTTCGACATAACTGAGCATCTGAGTTATAAGTCTCTTGAATTACTCAGGCATCAGTGAAGTCTTGCGGGTTACTGGGAAACAAAGCTTTAATATGCAGCGAGGTGACAGATTGTTTTACAGATATTGACCCACGTTTCTAGCAAACTTAGCTCAGATTTAGGTCAAACAATTCAAAGGTGAGTCGCAGCAGCCTTCTGTTGTTTTTTTCCGGCGTTTGGGACAATCATGAAACATGGTGAGAGACTGCATTCTGGCCGCCAGACTCAACACCATGTGTAAGTATGTGCGTGAGTCTGACTAGAGTTGGACAGTCACCATGCCGCGTGAGCACATACATACATTGATCATCGTCCGTATAGCATATTTCCCGTAACTGTCACCAACTTGATGCAATGTACTTGGATGCAGACTTGGACGGACTGAAGTGACAGTGCCAGTACTGATGGCACGTCGCAATTGTTCCAATCCGGCCAGCCTGTGTGGTATAAGAGCGTCTCCTGCAGATCAGCAACATTTTAGTCAACATTCAGACCACCGCACTGGCTGCCAAACCATAGTGACCGGGGCACAGAAGCTTACTGATAAGTGTGACGATTAGTGAGAGTGGTGAAAGTGACAGCTTTGGTTTGCATGTACACAACCGGAGCAAGCAATAGGATGTGTGTTATGCCCGGAAACAAAATACTTACGGGTCCAGGCATGTAAATTTCATGCCTACTTGGCTGCTATAGATTTCAGACCTCCCCTTAAAAGGGCAAATTTACAGAAATATAGTACATTCTGCGGTTTGCTTATTGCATTTCATTCAAGTCATACGCCGCAGCCAGAACACTCAAAAATTAAAATTACAAGAGCGGTTGTCCAGGCGTCTTTCTCATGTTTACATATGAGGCTCAGAAGGTCACTGTTTAAAATGCGAATTCAGTTTACGTAGGCTTGAATTGGGCTGTATAAAGTATGTTTAGCCATCTCGGCCCGGAAATCGTTGCGTTGGTAGGCAAAACTGTAGTCTTAAGCAGCTGATTTCAATGGCGATTGCAGAAAGAAAGCCTAAACCATAACTACTGCACCCAATTCACCAGTCAGCCGGGCGATTTCTTTACGTGCTGCAGATTAAAGAATGTATAAGGGCCCACGGGAAATGCCGCAATGGTCCAATGCGGCGAATTACGGTGTT